CCCCCCCCCCAAAAGGTGGTGTGACTGTTTTTCGAGAATCATGTCATGTATTAGTGAAAATCAAGCGTAGAAACATTTGAAGGGTCAAGGAAGCAGATTTTGTTTTTTTCTTACCGTATTAGGTAACTGAAGACCCGAGTCAATCAATGTAATGATGTCGTCATTAAAACTGGATTCCAGACTAATTATGTCGTCGATAACGTCTTCAATCTAGAAACAATAGATGACAGGAAACATGTAGCACAATCTGACCAGCTTTTCGGGGTCGGATCATATACAAGCAATGCTTATACTCTACACGGACTAGATCTAAAGCTCTCAGTCGTAAAAAATAATTCCACAAGCTGTAAAGCAGCCTCATGTCATAGACGCGCAAGCGGAGAAGTGGCACGGTTAATCTGCCGGTGCAGTATTTAACATCCTATTGTGACACCAGGCCAACAAGTATATGAAGACAAAAGGCATGCAACGTTCAAGTGGGACCTGGGGCCACATCCCCGCAGAACAAACCAAAAGTCATTAAGTACAAAGTGAGCTGAAGGCTTGACTTCAGACTTCTCCAAAAACACACTGCTAGTTCACAGAGAGGCAACTATTGGCAAGACTGTGTCATCTGCTGCATCAGCAAACCGCAGTTATAAAAAAGAAGAAAAAAAAAAAAAAAGAAAGAACAGGACTTGGGCATACTTCCTCCTTGTTGGAACTGATGTTAAGTAGGGCCATCGGGCTGTTAGGGGCGCTGTTGGCAGTGTGGGCAACCTCAGGGGCAGAGCTGCACTGTGGCACAGGCGATACACCGAGCGTCTGAGTAATCGCGTTGTTACTCAGAGTGGTGGAGAGGTACTGCCCCCACCAAGACATCCCAACAAGGACAAGTGTGCAAACTCTAATTCCTGTCCAAACCCCCCACCCCATCCCTGCATCTATTGGGTTTCTCCCAATACCGCCACATTATTAAGGCCAGAAAAAAAATCTTTCCCTCTGTATGACCACATAATAAATTCAAGCCAAAATTTATATTACTCTTAAATCTTATAAAATATGTAAGAATGTTAATATACATGTAAGCATCCCTCTAAGTGTACAATATTCCATTTTAATACTATTGCACTTACACACACCCAGACTTATCGGTAATCACTCAACCAGCTCCAAATAGGATGAGCAACATTTCAGTGTCCCGGGACAAGGAGGGGTCGGGGATTGGTTAGTCTCACTAACATTTACTGTAGGTTGGTTTCAATCTGAATATTTACTTGAAAACAATTCTGGTCAACAGTCCTACCGACAGACTCACCTCACGTAAGAGACAGACCGCATGCTGACATTCGGTCTGTGCGGGCGCATTTGCTTCTCTCGGGGCGCATCACAAGTCCTCCTCCATCTCAAGGCTGCTCCTACGGCTGCTGGTTTTGGAGGCACCCGGTGACA